CATTATGCTGGGGAGGACATGGTTGCTAAATTTGCACAAGGCGAGGCATGGAAAAGGGTATTTGGTCCGGTTTTTACGTATGTTAACTGCGTGCCTAAAGAAGATGACTGGCATTGGTTGTGGGATGATGCTAAAGAACAGGTTAACAGCTAATATTGTACCTATAATTTTTGGTATAAATATTTTCCAAATTAGATTAATCTCAGTCATATAGTACTGCTACATGAATATATGCAGGCCGTGATCGAAACAGATAGTTGGCCGTACACATTTCCAACCTCTGAAGACTATCCAACATCTGACCAAAGGGGTAATCTCTCTGGTAGATTATTAGTTCATGACAGGTCAGTTATTTTTTTTACTCTGTATAATTTAGTCTACTCGGCTAACGGTTTGGTGTCACATAGTATATGTATGTGAAGTTGTGTCGTGTCATACTTATATTATGATATTTCGTCTTTGAGCATGTCAAGATTTCCACTCGTAACCTCTGTCCTCTAGGATATAGATCGTTGTTATCTATACCAACAATCCAATGATGAATTAATGTAATGTCTCTTTAACCAAAATTTACATGTCAGGTATTTTGATGATGATTACATCCCAGCAAATGGAGCATATGTAGGTTTAGCATCTCCTAATGAACCAAAATCTTGGCAGCTGGAAGGCAAGGTGATTGATTTACGACTGCTTAAAACTTAGCAAAAATTAACATATTTGAGTGTCCTTAGTAATGAGGCGGCTTGTAATTTAGTCTTAACCATGAACTAATATCAGCATTATTGGCTTAATGTTTTAATGAAGCAAATTTCATATTAATAGGGTTACCAGTTTTGGACAACAACAGATGAAGATGGTTATTTTTTCATAGATGATATAAGGGCTGGTGACTATAATCTGTATGCTTCGGTCCCTGGCTTCATAGGAGACTATGTATGCGACAACAATGTTTCCGTAACTCCAGGTCTTCAAACTTACTCCCATTTACACGAAATCATACAAAAGGTGTTTAAGCATCTTACATTAGTACATAAAACTTGAAAAGATAATTTACTGAGCAAAAATGTACAGGTTGTGATATTTATATGGGTGAACTTGTGTATGAACCACCAAGTGATGGACCTACATTGTGGGAAATCGGTGTTCCTGATCGAACAGCTAGGGAGTTTTACATACCTGATCCGAACCCTAAGTATGTCAACAAACTCTTTGTCAATCACCCTGACAGGTTAGCTCTCATTATCAGAGTTTCTGAACTGTCAAGTTTTAGCATAATGTATAGCATTGAAGTATGTTTAGTAATATTTTTAATTTTTTCGGGCCACTTTCTGAAACAGATTTAGGCAGTATGGTTTATGAGAAAGATATGCCGAATTATATCCTAATGAAGATCTGGTCTATACAATTGGTGAAAGTGATTACGAAAAGGATTGGTTCTTTGCTCACGTTACCAGGTAAAGTAACTAAGGCATCATACTTTGGTTAAAAGTCATTAAAACATTGAACAAAATATTGTATGTTTACATCTTCCTTAAGTAATGTCTTTTGTAAGTGACTCAGTGGTCATTTTTGACAATGGCTGAAAGGGATACAAGTCAAATAGATAATTAAGCTTTGATTAATAGAAATCAGTTTCGATCAGTAACAATCAGCTTTAAGCAGTTTCTATCAGTAGACACTTTTGATATGATCAGTCACGATCTGTTCTTAAATACTCTGCAGTGAAAACCAGTTCAAATGAGTTTGATAAATAAAATACTACTAAAAATCATTATGCTGTCAGCAAAAAAAAAAAAAAAAAACAGTTTAAATCAATACTCGTAATTATCAGTTCAGTTTAGTGAAAATCAGTTGAACAGAACATGTAATCTAAGTTAACATGATTCAACAAGGCAAATGATAAGATGATAGGTTACATCAAATTAGACCGTGATGCAAAACATATGTGCTCGTGTAAAGCAGTAATGGAGTACAAATGTACAATAAATGGATAATCGCTAACAATAACTGTTTTTCATGATCTTGCAGGAAGAAAGGGAATACATACCAAGGAACTACGTGGAAAATCAAGTTCAGCCTTGAAGAAGTTGATCAACATGGAGTCTACAAACTAAGATTGGCACTTGCAACCGCGAACATGGCAGAATTACAGGTAATTTAGTCACAAAAATTGATACAGTTTTGATTTTCTATCTACCACATACAACAATTCTCAACATGTATTTGGAAATCAATGTTTAGGTTCGAGTAAATGATCCAAAAGCAGATCCTCCGGTATTTACAACAGGACTAATAGGGAAAGATAACGCGATTGCAAGACATGGGATTCATGGGCTATATAGGCTTTATACTGCAGATATACAAGGAAATAAGCTTGTACAAGGTGATAATACCATCTATTTGACTCAGGCAAAGGGTGGTAGCCCTTTTGTAGGAATCATGTATGACTATATTCGCCTCGAAGGGCCTCCAGATTCAGATCAAAGTTAAAGCTCCAAGGGTTACTTTATTTGATGTACATAAACAAGATGAATATGTATATGTTGTTTATACCACGAAGATCTTCATTATGAAATGCTACTATGTTATGTATGTCAGTCTTGTCATGTTAAATAGAAAGCAAATTCTTGCTTATGTACTAGTATGAATTTTTCTGAAGTGTAAAACAATTTCAAACAATAATACAAGGAAAATCTGTAACAAACACTTTTCTAAAAGAGGATCAGGGTCTATTTTTATGCACCAGTTTTGACCAGTAATAACTCATGACAAAATACTACGGAGCAGTAAATTAAATTACGGATTTTTCACTATGTACCCCTAACGTTTTATGATCATCTTCTTATATTTAATTTTAGGAATACTCTTGACTAATTACTACTTTTGCAAATTTGGACGAAAAAGAATTAGTCACACATTTTGGGTCATCACTATGGTGGCTAATGCGCGCAATGCGCACGTCATAGCTAACAATTTTATGGGAGCTCTTTCAGTTGTTAGCAACATAAAGAAGGAAAATATGTAAGCAAATACTTTTAGGGGTATAATTGTCCAAACATTATTCAAAAGAGTTACATCATTAAATCATATAAAGAAAAAGCTTAGCGGCAATTAACATTTTATCAATAGGGGCATATAAGTAAACAAACGTTTTAAAGTTATAATTGTCTTCACACTATTCATAAGTGTTTTCTCATACTTTTTAAACGCTAGGGATGAATTTAATTAGGAGAACAAAGGTGACTTGTGATTATTGGTAGTATGACTAATTAGAACAAATGGCCATGAGGTTAGGTCATAGAGTAGGTACTATGAAAATCTTACGTTGAAGTAACTTCATGATATAGGGACTACAAGACAGTAAGACACCACTTATTTGTTGTATTCATTATATCGTTTGGCCGTTTAGGACCAATAAAAGATGCCTTGCTGAATTTTTTGATAAAGCTTTTCAAACAAATTATGTGATTTATAAGGGTCACATTATGGAAAATTGCGTGTTTCTTCATGTTTGGAGAAAATTAATTTGTACTACACACCTATTTATATTTGAGATTTATTTAAAGCTTTTAATAAACATGAATGATAAATTAAATTAACCTATTTTGAAATTTTGATTATTGATGAAAATGTAGAGAAGCTAGGAAATTTTGAAATTTTATTAAAGCTTTTCAAACAAATTATGTGATTTATAAGGGTCACATTATGGAAAATTGCATGTTTCTTCATGTTTGGAGAAAATTAATTTGTACTACACACCTATTTATATTTGAGATTTATTTAAAGCTTTTAATAAACATGAAAGATAAATTAAATTAACCTATTTTGAAATTTTGATTATTGATGAAAATGTAGAGAAGCTAGGATATATATGTTGAGTGATAATTCGTCTCTTCTTTTGCCAACAATTAGTTGATGTTGGTTATGAGCACGTTTAAACAAGTTACCGTACAAGCTAAGTGATCAAGGATTGGAAATAAACTTAAGATCAAGGTCGATCTTGTTAAGATCATATTGTAAGCTTAATTGAATAGATACTATTATTTCCATTTGATTTTGAAAGTAAAAAAACTTTTAAACTTGTAAGTGGTCTAAACTCTCTTCCTTATTTTAAGGTACCGTCACATCTTCTCTAAAATTGAAAGTTTGGTCTAATGTTATGTAAAGTGGCCCGTCTAAGTTGAGCGATTGGTTCTAGATGGATCAGAAGGATTATAATGATTACTTGTGACTATCTTGCACTAATAATAGTCATTATTTTAGGAAATTTGTGAAAAACCGTCAATACTTTTGAATTAATAATGATTTAATTAAATTTTTTTTTTAACATGTTACTACTTTGATTAAGTGATGAGAAGAAATTAAAGATGGTCTAGACACATCTAACCAGGCCATTACATAAGATATACTATAACTATGAGAAAAATGAGATATAATGAGAAATAAGACAGTGTGATAATTGACAGCCATTTATAGACAGACAAAAGGTGTATACATGAGGTGCTGGGTTAGTCAACACAATGGGTATGGTGCACAATTTTGGTTATTTCTTATGTGAAACACACACAATCACCTAAAGTTTTTATGTAGATGATTAAATTACTCAAATTTCTCATACCTTAATTCATGTACTTAGCATTATATAAACTTTCATTATGTACATTACTATCATACAAGTAGTATCTAAAGTGGTCACACAAATTATACGTGAATAAATCACTAACTACTGTTGCTCTACCTTCAATACATGGCAATCTTTTATCTCTTCATTTTATCCATTATCACCAAAAAAATGGTTGCGCCTAAGTAAAGAGATAAACCAAAAAAGGTTAAAATTCCAAACCCTTTTGCTTTAATTTGATTCTAAGAAAATTTCATGTCTTTTATATATATATATATATATATATATATATATATATATATATATATATATATATTATATATATATATATATATAATATATATATATATATATATATATATATTGATACAATATTTGCTCTTTTTAACAATTAATATGATCGATTATTAAAATTAAATATTGTATTTAATTTTCTTTTGCTATCTTTTGTGCTTTATTTTATTTCAGCTATGTCATTCAAGGCAGTCCAACTTACTATCCAAGATCATTATGTAAGTATTACAAACAATAATGAACATATTTAGTTTATTTTGCATCCAAAAAAAAAAAAAAAAAGATAAAGGTTCATTAACCATGAAGTATTTATTTTACATGCATTGAATTTATGATCGAGTAAATTTAAGAAAATAGTCTCTATATGTAATATTTTGTATGCAGTTTCTATATGATAATGTACTATAATTATCCTACACTATATTTTGTACGTGATCTAAACTTTCAGGTTGTTATCGATAATGGGATACTCGAAATCACAATATCGAGACCAGATGGGATCATCACAAAGATAATATACAATGGCATAGAGAATTTGCTTGAGGACACAGTTGTAGAAGAACATAGAGGGTATGCTAGCTATATATGCAGAAATAATATTGTCAGAGCAAGATTAGCTTAGCGTTGTCATTATTAAGACTTTTCTTAACTAATTTATTTAAGACTTCTCAAAACATATACAACTATAGAAAGCCAACATCAGCTATCTAGAGCAAGATTAGCCCTAAGTCTTAAGATTCTAGGTGATCGACATCATTAATTTCTGATTTTGTGGTCTTAAGACAAGACTTTATTTTTATTTTTTATGCATTTATGTGGCTTGGTCTTAACAAAATCTCAAGTGAAGTCTTGAAAAATCAAGACTCAATTTAACATTTCTACACTGTGTTTTTACCTATATACATATCAAAACATGGTGTTTTGATTATAAAAAATTTATTAACTTTTTTATTTTTTAAAAACATTAATTATTTGATTTATTATGCTAATCGTGAACAATTCTTTGAGAACCACCGAAGACTTTCGAAATCGAAGAAGACATCATCAATTGCAACATGATTTGGTTGAACATTTATGGAGTCGTTTTGGGAAAGTGATATTTGAATTCAGATCAATTTTACATTAGTCAATTTTATTTTACATTACAACTATTTTAATGCAATATGTGTGTGTGTTTTTTTATTTATCTTATTTTTCATGTATATTAAAATCTTTTAATTTCATGTAATTCCATTATAATTTATTTTTATGCATGCATCATCTTTATTGCATAATGTGAATTTTTATATTAAAATATATAGTATGTTAAAAGAAAAAAATAATAATAAATTTGTTAAAGAAATTTAAAATGAGTCTTAGAGATGAAGAGATAAATAATCTGGTTGAGTTTAAGGAGTCTTAAACATAATTTTAAAATAAAAAATAATTAAATTTAAGTTAATAGCTGATGTGGCAATAAATTTAAGTCTTAAGACAAGACTATGCTAATCTTGCTCTTAGACATCACCCATGAACAATTCAAGTCTTAACGTGGGTCTTAAGAAATCAAAACTCCCATTCAAACTTTTCTAAAACAAAACATCAATGCAAAAATTTGTGAAGTTTCATCTTAAAACAAGTGGGAACCACTTTACGATGATATCATAGCAAGTCTTAAGAGTTTAACACTATTTTTTTTAACCATCACCAAACATAAAACTTAGCTCTATTTGCAACTCCAAATTAGACACTCCCATTTCTTACATAAGAGCGAGCTAATTCTTAAAATTTCTCTCCTTAAGAAAACCTTATTATTGATGCTCAAAATTGATCTTTGAAAGACAATGTTATTGTGATTCGTGATGGAGATACTGTATACAGGTATTGGGACCTTAATTGGAGTGATCCTGGAACTTCAGGCACAAGAGGCTACGGCGAAAGGTAATAATATAATATTGTGTGTGTGTGTGTTTTTTTTTTCCGTACTTATCATTTTCCCTCAAATTTAAGAACTTGGCATTTACAAAGTCTTCAATGTGCATTTGATAATTCTAAAAAGTTTAATTGAAAATATTCATTTATTAGATAAATCTAACAAGATTCCCTTCATTTCTAATTTATTGATTACGTTGTACAAGTACAAGATTATGTTGGATTATTATACTCCACTTTCACTTTCTCGCTATTTTTGTTTAATTTCTTTAATTGTTGTTATAAAATTATGCAGAGTCAAAGGAACGGATTTTCAAGTTGTAGTAGAGAACGATGAAATGGTGGAAGTGTCTTTCACAAGAACATGGATACCTTCATCTAAAGGCAAATTTGTGCCATTGAACATTGATAGAAGGTACTCTTTCCTCCTCATAATCTGAGACATGATATTTTTACTTGCACTAATTACTATTTTATGGCTAATATTTTTATGAATTTTTATTAGGGTCATAATGCTTCAGGGTTCAGCAGGCTTCTACTGTTATGGTATTTATGAGAAATTAAAGGAATGGCCTGGATTCAATCTTCCTCAAACAAGGATTGTTTTCAAGCTTAACAAAAAGTGGTAAAAATAATCTTTTCTACTCCGGAATGACTTAGCTTGTACTCTCTTCGTTAGCAAATAATAGTCGCATATACAATGTGACAAATAATTTTGGATGGATAGAGTAAATGCTGTAATGCTGAATTAAACGAGCTGTTTTTGACAGTTAAGTTGATAAACAGGTTTCAGTATATGGCAGTAGCAGATAACAGACAAAGAAAAATGCCACTTCCAGATGACAGGTTACCAGGAAGGTGCCAAGTCCTTGAACCTCCTGAAGCAGTGCTTCTTACAAATCCTATTGAAGAAGAATTTAAAGGAGAGGTATATATTGATAATCCAACTCACTATTATACAGATTTACAATATTTTTTTTTTGTATGATAAAATGCTTACCTATATATATATATGTTGGACTAGGTGGATGACAAATACCAGTATTCGTGTGAGGACAGAGATCTCCAAGTCCATGGATGGATATGCACCGATCCCCCTACCGGAATGTGGCAAATAACACCTAGTGATGAGTTCAGAACCGGTGGACCATTCAAGCAAAATCTTACCTCTCATGTTGGCCCTTACAACCTTGCTGTAAGTAAATTACGGATCAAGAAATTATTAGGTGCACGTGAAAGTATTTACTCTCTGTACAAGTGATATAACTTCATCTCAGAGCTAGGCCTTTAATTTGAAATTTTAAATACAGATGTTCATAAGTGCACATTATGCTGGGGAGGACATGGTAGCAAAATTTGCACAAGGTGAGGCATGGAAAAGGGTGTTTGGTCCGGTTTTTACGTATGTTAACTGTGTGCCTAAAGAAGATGACTGGCATTGGCTGTGGGATGATGCTAAAGAACAGGTTAACAGCTAATATTGTACCTATAAATTTTTGATATGAATATTTTCCAAATTAGATTTATCTGAACCATATAGTACTGCTACATGAATATATGCAGGCTGTGATCGAAACAGATAGGTGGCCGTACTCATTTCCAGCTTCAGAAGACTATCCAACATCTGATCAAAGGGGTAATCTCTCTGGTAGATTATTAGTCCATGACAGGTTAGTTATTTTAATTTACTTGGCTAACGATTTATTGGCGCTACATTATATATGTACATGACTTTATGTGGTGTCATACTTTTATTATGATACCTCGGATGAGCATGTTAAGATTTCAACTCGTAACCTCTGTCCTCTAGGATATAGAATGTTGTTATCTATGTCAACAATCCAATGATGAATAAGTATAATGTCTCTTTAACTAATTAAAATTTAAATGAATCGTCAGGTATTTTAATGATGATTATATCCCAGCAAATGGAGCATATATAGGTTTAGCATCTCCTAATGAACCAAAATCTTGGCAGCTGGAAGGCAAGGTGATTGATTTACGACTACTTTTAACTTAGCGAAAATTAGCTTAACATATTTGAGTATCCTTAGTAATGAGGCTTCTAATAATTTGCTTAATGTTTTAATGAAGTTAATTGTTTATTAACAGGGTTATCAATTTTGGACAACAACAGATGAGGATGGTTATTTCTTCATAGATGATATAAGAGCTGGTGACTATAATCTGTATGCTTCGGTCCCTGGCTTCATAGGAGACTATGTATGCGACAACAATGTTTCTGTAACTCAAGGTCTTCAAACATACTCCCACTTACGCGAAATAAATACAGTACAAAATTTCCTGTGCTTAAGCATCTTACATTACTACATAAATCTTGTAAAGATGACTTACAGAAAGCAAGCTTATACAGGTTTTGCTATTGATATGGGTGAACTTGTGTATGAACCACCAAGTGATGGACCGACATTGTGGGAAGTCGGTGTTCCTGATCGAACAGCGAGGAAATTTTACATACCTGAGCCCAACCCTAAGTATGTCAACAAACTCTTTGTCAATCACCCTGAAAGGTTAGCTCTCATTAACAGAGTTTCTGAACTGTGAAGTTTTAGCATAATGTATAACATTGAACGATTGAAGTATGTTTAGTTATTTTTTTAATTTTTTCGGGTCACTTTCTGAAACAGATTTAGGCAGTATGGTTTATGGGAAAGATATGCCGAATTATATCCTAATGAAGATCTGGTGTATACAATTGGTGAAAGTGATTATGAAAAGGATTGGTTCTTTGCTCAAGTTACCAGGTAAAGTAACTAAGGCATCATACTTTGGTTAAAAGTGATGAAAACTTGAAAAAAAACATTGATCAAAATGTTATGTTTACATCTTTCTTAAGTAATGTCTTTTGTCAGTGGTCATTTTTTACTGTGGCTGAAAGGGATACAAGTCTAATAAATAATTAAGCTTTGATTAATAGAAACCAGTTTCTATCAGTGGACAATTTCAATCAGTAACAATCAACTTAAGCAGTTTCTATCAGTAGACACTTTTGATATGATCAGTCACGATCTGTTCTTATTTACTCCGTAGGAAAAATCAGTTCAGTTAAGTGAAAATCAGCTGAACAGAACACCTTAGCTAAGTTTTCATAATTCAAGCCAAATGATAAGATGAAAGGTTACATTAAATTAAGCCGTGATGCTAAACATATGTGCTCGTGTAAAGCAGTAACGAAGTACAATAATAAATATATAATCACTAACAATAACTGTTTTTCATAATCTTGCAGGAAGAAAGGAAATACATACCAAGGAACAACATGGAAAATCAAGTTCAACCTTGAAGAAGTTGATCAACATGGAGTCTATAAACTAAGATTGGCACTTGCAACTGCGAACATGGCAGAATTACAGGTAATTTTAGTCACAAAAATCTATATCAAGTTTGTTTTTCTATCTACCACCTACAATGATTATCAACTAAAGAGTATGGGAAAAACAATGTTTAGGTTCGAGTAAACGATCCAAAAGCAGAACCTCCGGTATTTACAACAGGACTAATAGGGAAAGATAACGCGATTGCAAGACATGGGATTCATGGGCTATATAGGCTTTATACTGCAGATATACAAGGAAATAAGCTTGTACAAGGTGATAATACAATCTATTTGACTCAGGCAAAGGGTGGTAGCCCTTTTGTAGGAATCATGTATGACTATATTCGCCTCGAAGGGCCTCCTGATTCTGATCAAAGTTGAGCTCCAAGGGTTACTTTCTTTGATGTACACAAACAAGATGAATATGTATATGTTGTTCGTTTATACCACGACAATCTTAGCTTCATTATGAAATGCTACTATGTTAAATAGGAGGCAAATTCTTGCTTATGTATGAATTTTTCTGAAGTATATAACAATTTCAAACAATAGTACAAGGGAAATTTGTAACAAACACTTTTCTTAATGAAGATCAGGGTCAATCTCTATGCACTTCAACTTATATAATTCAATTTTAACAAGTTTAAAAAATAAAAGGCCTGATAATGAAAATGTCAATATTACTCAGTAGAAATCAGATCTGATCATTCAAAAACAATCAGTTTTGATCTGTAATCGCTCATGACAAAATACTGCTCCCTCCGTCTCCAAATGATTTTACCATTTGACTTTTCATGGTCTCCAAATTGTGTCTTATAACATCTATGTCTTCATTACCATACGAGAAAAAATTATAAGAACTTGATAATATAGTGTACACTATGACGAGTCTAACAAGATCCCACATGAATATATAATCTCTAATAGATTAAAGGGAATTTATGGTCAAAGTTTTCAAAGTTTGATCTAAATAATAGAAATGAGAAAATCATTTGGAAACGGAGGGAGTATGAAACAGTAAATTACAGATTGTTCACTATGTTCCCCTAGGTTTTTAAGATCAAGGTCAAGCTTGTTAGATCCTATTGTAACTTTGGAAGCTTAATTGAATAACACTACTACTATTATTGTTTCAATTTGATTTTAAAGTTAAAACTTGTAACGTAAATGGTCCAAACTCTCTTCCGCATTTAAAGGTACCATCACATATTCTCTAAATTAAAAGCTTGGTCTAATGCTAGAGTTATGTAAAGTGGTCCATCTGAGTTGAGCGATTGGTTCTAGCTAGATGGATCACAAGGATTATTATAATGATTATTGATTACATGTGACTATCTTGCACTAAATAAATTAGTCATTATTTTAGGAAATTTGTGATAAACTGTCATAATAAATTTTTGAAATAAATAACGATTTAATTGAACTTTTTAACATGTACTATTTAGAGTAAGTGATGGGATTTAAAAATGGCTTAGATACATCAGGAATTATACTCTTCAACTATTAGAAGAATGAGACATTATGAGAAAAGAGACAATAATGTAACAATTGACCTTCATTTATAGATAAACGAAAGGTGTATACATGAGACGTTCTATTTCTCAACACAATGTGATAATAATGCACAATTTTGATTATTCATTACGTGAGAATAAGTTATTTGTCAAACACACGTACTATCACCTTAAATTTTTGTGTAGATGATATTAAATTACACATTTCTCATACCTTAATTCATATACTTAGCATCATATAAACGTAGCATTATATAAACTTATCGTTATATACATTACTATCATACAAGTAGTATCTAAAGTGGTCACACAAATTATACGTGAATAAATCTCTAACTACTGTTGCTCTTTGGCAATCTTCTCTCTCTTCATTTTATCCATTGTCACCAAAAAATGGTTGCGCCTAAGTCAAGAGAAAAACCAAAAGAGGTTAAAATTCCCAACTCTTTTGCTTTAATTTGATTCCAAGATTATTTCATGTCTTGTATATTGAGACAATTTTTGCTCTTATTCTATGTTTTGCTAACTAACTAATTCAAAGTAAGGTACTCCAGTGAACAAAAAAGCTTCATTTTCTATAATATACTCAACAATGAATATGATTATAATAAAATTAAATGTTGTAATCAATAATTTTCTATTGCTATCTTTTGTGCTTTTTATTTAAGCTAGGCACCAAATTATTTCAGCTATGTCATTCAAGGTAGTCCAACTTACTATTCAAGATTATTATGTAAGTATCCATTACATGTAAGAAATACTTAAGAAATTTAATGCGGAAATAAACCTTAAGCCTAGAATCAATTGATACATTACATACCGTTTGATGAGCTTGAAGCCATGATTGTACCTTTGGTTGGATGAACCTTGATGGGGAAGAAGAACAATACCAAACCCTTCTCTTCTCTCTCTAACTTTAATACTGGATTTTGTTTATTAGCTCTTAGTGATGGAAAATGTAAAAAACCGTCTTCTATTTGAAAACATAACCTATATATTCTTTTATATGTAGTCCAGTTGTCCTTAATAGAGGAGAGTAGATGGCCCGGTTTTAGTCAGATAAAACCAACTATCTTTTATATCAATAACTGTTATCTTTTATTAATTATTTATAAATAAATAAGTAATTGGCTAAGTAATCCAATCCATCAAAGGACACTTATCTTTTATACAATATTGATTTAATATGAGCATTTTTGTATTGGATATATGTATTAACTTAAATAGTGGGATTTAATTAATTTAAACAATAGATTAGCGGGTCACCCACTTGACACGTAATGTGGAAATTACATTATCCCACTTGGCCCGGTAAATCGATTATGAAAAGCTTACATTATATATAAATATGAAATATATGTAATATATAAAGACATATTTCAAAAATATTTTTAACACGTGATCACGAGTACAATAATACATATCCAACATGCTCAAAAAATAATATAATTACTATAATATTGAAGTTAGCACAAACGATTAGCACAAGTCATGGCGGTTACGCAGCAACAAAAAACGCCATGCTTCTTTCCATGTACTACATACTAATAATCCATACTAATTCAACCTTTAATATTATAATGGCCCCTGTAATTTGTCTTGTCAGGACCATTCTTGTTTTTTACAAAACATAATGTATACAATAACAAGAATAAGCAAAAATAAACTTTAATTGCGTAAAATGTCAATTAGTACCACTATCAATATACATTTATGGATTTTCCAAAGAGCCCATCCTTATAACATGTTCTAAGTATGCCTTTGGTGATAATCCTTTAGTGAGTGGAGCGGCATCATAAATGTGTTACTTATATTTTCAATTGACACTTGTTGTTTTTGGACTCTTTCTCTAACGACTAAGTACTTTAAATCCATGGCCTTCGACCCACTCTAAAATTTACCATTCTTCGAGAAGAATACAGCTGTGGTGTTATCACAAAATATTTTCAGCGGCTTGGCAATAGAGTCGACAACACCAAGCCCTGAAATAAAATTCCGCAACCATAATGCATTATTTGAGGCTTCAAAACAAGCAATAAATTTGGCTTCTGGCTTCCATCGTGGAAGAAGCAATAATGGACTGCTTCTTACTTTGCCATGAGATTGCCCCATTTGCTAGCATAAAAACAAACCCTAATGTTGATTTCATGCTATCGGAATCCGAATAACCAACAACCTCTAATGCTTGTGACCTTTTATATGTGAGCATGTAATCCTTAGCTCCTTGAAGGTACCTCATAACTTTCTTTGTAGCTTTCCAGTGTTCAAATCCTAGATCACTTTGGTATCTTCCTAACATCCCAACAACAAAACTAATGTCAGGTCTGGTGCATGTTTGAGCATACATCAAACTCCCAACTGCCGATGCGTAAGGAATTTTCCTCATTTGTTCATTCCATTTCATTCTTTGGGCACATCAATTTACTTAATTTGTCACCTTTAATAATAGGTGCAATACCTTTTGAACAAGACTACATGTCATATCTTTCTAAAACTCGGTCAATATATCCTTTCTGAGACAAACCTAGCAATCCTCAGATCGATCCTTAAATATCTCGATGCCAATAACATACTTTGCCTCACCCATTTCAACAATCGAAAAGTTTTTAGAAAGATATTCCTTGGTTTCACGTAACAAACCAAGATCACTATTAACTAGCAAAATATCATCCACGTATCAAAAATATAAACTTTCTCCCACTAATCTTAAGGTATATACATTGGTCAACAATGTTATCCTTAGATCCAAAAGATGTAATGGTATCGTTAAACTTAATATACCATTGTCGGGAAGCTTGTTTAAGACCATAAATGGATTTCTTTAATTTGCAAACTAGATGTGCATTGTCCTTACTTGTGAACCCTTCAGGTTGTATCATATAGATATCCTCATCCAAATTCCCATTTAAAAAAGCAGTTTTCACATCCATTTGATGTAGCTCCAAATCAAAATGAGCGACAAGTGCCATGATGATTCTAAGTGAATCCTTCTTAGAAACAGGGGAAAAAGTATCGCTGTAATCGATACCTTCCTTTTGAGTGAAACCTTTGGCCACAAGCCTAGCCTTAAATCGTTCGATATTGCCTTTAGCGTCGCGTTTGGTCTTACAGACCCACTTATAACCGACGAGTTTAGATTTACAAGGCAATTCAACAAGATCTCAAACATCATTATGTGCCATAGATTTCAATTCATCTTTCATAGCTTCCAACCATTTATCAGAATCAGTACTTTCCATGGCTTGTGAAAACGAAACCGGATCCTTTCTTATCCCAATATCAAAGTCAGATTCTTGTAGATACACCACATAATCATCTGAAATGACAGATTTTCTTTCCCTTTGAGATCTCCTCAAAGCTGCCGGTTGTGGTGGTTCTACATCATTTTCAATGGCAACATTTTCTGGTAGTAATGAACTATCTCCATCATGTTGCTCATGATCCTCAACATGAAAAGAAGGTTGAGGGGCAACAATTTCAGTAGGTAGAAAAGGTGGTGGGATATCCACTCTTATCTCCTCAATTTCAACTTTTCTCAGTTCATTACTCACACTATTCTCTATTAATCTAGCATTTCCGGTTTCAACAATTCTCGTACTGTGGTTAGGACAATAAAATCTGTAACCTTTCGATTTATCTGGATAACCAATGAAATATCCAGATACCGTTCTCGAATCAAGTTTCTTTTCATGAGGGTTATATATTCTAGCCTCCGCTGGACAACCCCATATATGCATATGTCTTAAACTCGGTTTCCTACCAGTCCATAACTCAAAAGGAGTCTTTGGAACAGCTTTACTAGGAACTCGATTTAAGATATACATTGCGGTCTTTAAGGCTTCACCCCATAAAGAAACAGGTACAGTAGAGTAACTCATCATACTCCTAACCATTTCCATTAATGTACGATTACGCCTTTCAGCAACACCATTCATCTGCTCCTAGCATTGTATACTGTGCACAAATGCCATGCTTTTCAAGGAATTTGGCAAAAGGTCCGGGATTTTGTCCCAACTCATCATATCTACCATAGTATTCAC